CGCAAGACGCTGTTTGTGCTGGCCCAAACGGACCGGGTCAGTGGCCTCTTGCGCACCAGCTTCCTGCTGGCTCAACAGCGCCTGCTGGAGGACCGCAAGGACGTGGTGGTGTTGGTGATCCTGCGCCCCGATGCCCACCGCTCCCGCTACGTGCGCCTACGCCAGCGCCTCTGCAGACAGAGCGTGCTCTTCTGGCCCCAGCAGCCCAGCGGTCAAGGCAGCTTCTGGGCCCAGCTGAGCACAGCCCTGACTAGGGACAACCGCCACTTCTATAACCGGAACTTCTGCCGGGGACCCACAGCAGAATAGCCCAGAACAATTGGGACCAATTGCACCTTCACCGCCTGTTCACCCGAGTTGCTCTGCCTGCCTTGCTCTGTTCTGCTTTACTCCACGGGTATCTAGCAGGTGCTCAATATATGCTATCAAACCGCCAGTCCTGGGCTCCTGGGCCGTGTGGGTGAAAGGAGAGATGGGAAAATTCTCCCTATTTCCACAAAGTAAAGAGGGAGAAGATAGGTAAAAACGGGACCCTCAGAGCAAAGATTTGGCTGTGAAGGGCAGTTTGGAGGCAGTTTTTTTCCTAGCATCCTTCAGGAGGGTCTGAAGATAGTCACCAAATGTGGACTTGATCCTTCCCGGAGAACAAGGGACAGGGCTGACTTTTTTTTTTTTTTTTTTTTTTAAAGCTGTTTTCCGAATGCCCTGCACCTTACTGTGTTGTCTTGTCTTGTTCTGGGGTATCTGCCTCCACCTACTGGCCTGTTTTGAGAGCAGAGAAGATGCAGGTTTATTTTTGGCCCTCTCAGCCAAAGTCCTGAGAACATTCCCAAGCAGGACAGTGTTCACTATTAAGTGTGTAGGAAAAAAAAAGATGACTGCACACTCTGGTGGCTGTGCCTAGGGTGGACCAAAGCCAGTCTTGACTAGAGTCCTGCCAGTGCCAGTAGCAGCGAGGAGTTGAGAACCACAGAAGATCAAAAGTGTATTCAACTTGTGTGTGTATGTGCGCGCTTCCGTGCGTGCGTGCGTGCGTGCGTGCGTGTGTGTGTGTGTGTGTGTGTGTGTGTATGCACATATGTATGAGGGTCTGAGTACACATGTGTGTGTTTGGGGGACCAGAGGTCAACCTCACATGTCATTCTTCTGGTGCTATTGCATTTTGATTTTTGAAACAGAGTCTCTCATTGACCCAAAGCTCACCAAGTAGTCTATGTTGGCAGGTCAGAGAGCCCCAAACATCCACCTTTTCCAGCTTCCCGGCCTGGGGATTATAAAACCATGCACCACCCCTAGCATTTTCACATGAGTTTGGGGGTTCAAATTCAGGTCATCATGCTTGCATAACAAGCACTTTACAGACAGAACTATCTCCCCAGCCCTTTTGACATCATGACAAACACTGTCATTTACATAGTTCACATTTGAGATCGGTGTGATGAGTTAAAAAACAAATCATGCCAAAAATAAGAAAAGAAATTCAGTAGATAGTTTCGTATCGGACTGCATTCACGGCTATCCTGGGGTACATCAGTCCAGGGGCCGCAGACTGCACACACTTATTAAGATGAATTTATGGTGCTGGAGAGATGGCTCAGTGGTTAAGAGCAATGGTTGTTCTTCCAGAGGACCTGGGTTCAATTCCTAGCACCTACATGGCAGCTTACAACTTTTTGTAACTCCAGTTCCAGGGATCTGAAACCTTCCCACAGACATGAATGCCTATAAAAATAAATCTTTTTTTAAAAAGATGATTTAAAATCTGTTTTTAAAGAACTCATAATCCATTCCTTTCCACTTTCACCTACAGGGTCATGCTGGGCGACTGTTCAAATATTAAAAGACACCTAAGATGAGCTGCTACCTGGGTACAAAGGGGACAGGGCCTCCTCCATGTGCTTGTCTCTCAGACCTGCTCAAACTTAGGCTGAAGCCTAGTCACATCTGATCAAGATATGACTTGATCAAGATATATCAATATACATTCCTTTCGTTCTTTTTTTCTGAGACAGGGTTTCTCTCTGTAGCCCCAACTGTCCTAGAACTCACTATATAGACCAAGCTGGCCTCCAACTCAGAAATCTGCCTGCCTTTGCCTCATGAATGCTGAGACTAAAGGCATGAGCCACCACTGCCCATCTCTTTTCTTTCTTTCTTTCTTGGCTAACCTGGAGTCTATGTAGACCAGGCTAGCCTGGGACTCATAGAGATCCATTTGCTTCTGCCTCCCAAGTGCTGGGATTAAAGATGTGTACTACCATGCTCACATTTTTATTTTTAATTTTAAGTTGCATTTCTTTCGTATGTATGTGTGTGGGGGCGCGCAAGTGCCATGACTGGCTTGTGGAAGTCAGAGGATTAAGGAGTCAGTTCTCTCCTTCCACCATGTGTGGTCCAGAGACGGAACTTGGGTTGAAGATGTAAGTTCCAGGAGAGAGATGCTCCTTCCCCTGAGCCTTCTGCTAGTCAGTCATTGTGCTCAGATTGGAATGTTGCAGGTCCAGAAACTCATTACAATTTATCTTTGACTACAATTCTTTTTTTTTTTTTTTTCCAAGACAGGGTTTCTCTGTGGCTCTTGGAGGCTGTCCTGGAACTAGCTCTTGTAGACCAGGTTGCCCGCGAACTCACAGAGACCCGCCTGCCTCTGCCTCCCGAGTGCTGGGATTAAAGGCGTGTGCCACTACAATTCTAACAAAAAAGCTGTAGCCACGCCTACTTAGGGGCTGGCTACAGGTTCCCCTACAAATTACAACTTATTTTAGCCTTCTGACTGGCGGTTCCTTGTCTGAATCTCTATCTAACTGAATAGATAAATGTGTTCACCTAACAAAAACAGTTTTTTGTTTGTTTGTTTGTTTTCCACCAGCCAAAGGTTGAGAATGTTATCAGATAGCAACTGAGGTCTATGGCTGAGGTACACCTGCCCCTACTTTGCTTGAACCCACCTTCTTAATGTTTCCACCCAGTGTATTTGAAAGGTACCTTGACTTGTAGTGTTTGTTTTATTTTTGTTTTTATTTTGAGGCAAGGTTTCTCTGTGTAGCTTTGTAGACCAGGCTGGCCTTGAGAGATCACAGAGATCTGCCTGCCTCTGCCTCTGCCTCCTAAATGCTGGGATTAAAGGTGTGCGCCATTATGACTGGCTTTTACTTGTGGTTTTCTTTGTTCTGTTATTATAAAAACTTCGTCAAGCTGTTACCACACTGGGTATGGAATTTGAAGTAACCCAAATCTGTGTTCTCAGGCCATGTTCACACATGTTTGGCTCCAGAATAAACTATCTCTTATCCCCTTCAATTGAGAGTTGTGTTTTTGTGTCAACAGAGACAAGGGCTTTGACCAGATGGGCCTTTACCCACTGAGCTGTCTCATTGCCTGTGTTTCTCTTCCTTTCTTCCTTCCTTCCTTCCTTCCTTCCTTCCTTCCTTCCTTCCTTTCTTCTTTCTTGTTTGTCTGTCTTTTTCAGACAGGATCTCACTACATAGCCCTTGCTGTCCTGGAACTTGCTAAGTAGATCATGCTGGCCTCTAACTCACAGGGATCACTTGCTTCTGCCTCCTGAATCCTGAGATTAAAGGTGTAGACTACCACTTCCAAATCTGTGTTTCTAATTTTTTTAGGAACAGTGTAGACTTCAGAATGCAGCTTGTGTTGGTGGATCAGGTCTATATTTAGCAAGTCCATTGAACTTGTGGGTACTGTTGTACCTGGAGCCTTCAGGAAACTGATCCTGAGACCACTGTCTTCATCACCACAACCAAATCCAGCCTTTGAGACTCAGAGAACACACAGCCTCACAGAGCTGGTGTCTGGAGGGGTGGAGGAGAACTGAACCAGTTTGGCAGGCTTAGGTCAGTGGCCACTTAGGGCCTCCTATTTGGGGGTGGGAGAGAGCATTGGAGCTAGCCACAGACTCCAAAACTGCTGATTTTGCAACCTGATTGCCAGCTGCTCTGTTCCCCCTCCCCTGCATCTCCAGGACATAGCCATGAAGGAAGTACAGGCCACCTTCCTCTTTTACTTGCGCGCGTGTGCGTGTGTGTGTGTGTGTGTGTGTGTGTGTGTGTGTGTGTTACTGTTGTTTGAACCTAAGGTCTTATATATGCTAGTACTTTGCCACTGGGCTAGAACTCAAGCATAGAGGCTTCTTCCATGATGTCCCTTCTTATTTACTCAAATGAAAGACAGGGCAGTCCCTGACCTCTGAAGTCCCATGCAGGCTCTGACCTGGGTGGCCTGGGGGAAAAAAAAAACAAACAAGCACATTCCTTTGCAGCCTGAAAGCCTGGGGAAGTCCCTGTTGCGTGGCTCTGAGATTGTTTCAACCACAGCCAGAAGCAGAAGTAGGAAGCACAGTGTCTGACTTATTTATCTCCCAGGACAGCAAGGCTGTTCTCTGGCAGTTCCAGGTAGAACATGTGTCTATTCACTTGCCCGTTGGTCTCACGGGTAGCTCTGAGCAGTCTAGGAGACTGGAGGGAGCAGAGCTATACCAAATGAGGTTAGGCGGGAACCAACTGTGCTGCACTGTGGTTAACGGGAGTTTCGGGGTGGCTTCCGGCCGTCTCCTCCACATTGTCATTGGCTCAGCCACACCAAGAAAGAGATAGAACCCTGGTCAGGTTGCCAGGGGCTGCACCCCAGCTTTGCTGTTTGGGTTATCTTGGGCAGGTGACCTTCCTTTTGGAAGCTTCAGTTTGCTCATCTCTGAAGAGATTGGCCAGCGCTATTCTGCAGGCTGTTGTGTGTATAATGGCAGCCTCAGCTGTCATTATTGGGTATGGGGACTGATGCTTGGAACCATCAACTAACAGGTTTCCAGTGTTTCTCTTTCTACCCAGAGAATGACATTCCTGGCCAAGAGCCCCTGCCCAGGTCACTGACAAGGTCTGAAGGTGTGCGTTGGAGGTATGGAAGTTGTCTGTGAGAAAATCTGGGCCCTGGTACTGCCTCCTCATCCTGGGGAGCAGCAAGGACCGAACAAGCTGAGTTACAGGCACAAGACAGGAAAAGCTGACAGGAGGAAAATGTCAACTTGAGGAAAGTCTGTATACTAGGATTTTTTTATACATGCTTGTCTGCCAGAGGACAAGCCCAGGTGTTGTTTTAATGAATGCTATCTGCCTCCTTTGATTCAAAGTGTCTTCTTGGCTTAACTGGCTGGCCAGTGAGCTCCATGGGTCCTCCTGTCTCTGCTTCTACAGCACCATCATGCATGGCATTTTTAAGTAGGTCAGGGGTCAAATCAGGGTCTCATGCTGCAAAGACTTGTATTTTACTGAGCTATGCCCCCTGCTGGTCTACTG